CAGGGTAGCGGCGACGCGTGCACTTTTGTATCTACGTTCTACGTACCTACCCACCTACCAATAAATTAAATATTCAGTAGATCGTCCGCCGCCCAAGAAGTAAAACGTAATTTAAAAAACGCTCCAAATATTATTGCACAGTCTCTATTCTGGGCACGATCACATTCTATGGGGAGTATTTTGTGTCGGCGCTACAACGAATTACTACGCTATTCTGGATACAGTACTCCATCTTGTGTATACATATAATATTACGATTGTTTTCATGGTTCTTACCTTTTTAATGCGCTTCAACTAATCTAGTTTCTTAACCGCCATTCATATTTTGTAATCAGCTTCAAAAGCGGATAGATGACCGATCGTAACTACTGCTGAAGTACAGTAAAAAGTGTCATTTATTACCAAAATCGACTACTAAGAGTTGGTCTACCTGAAATCAATTCTGTGGTCGGACGATCGAAAGCTATATCACTATTTATTGGCAAGCAGACGGTATCTATTGTACGAACTGGGATACAGTTCCAACACTGGTCACAGATGACATTTTGTGCTGTCTTATTTCGATAGATTCTCTCGTTCGTTACCCTACCTGAGACCAAGCCTACACTATTCTGAGGTGTTGCCAAATAGCACGGAACAGCTGTCCATGTTTAACCGTCTGTGGTTACTGCTGTGATGTCTGTGACCAGAAAAGGTAGAGCGGGGCTTCTAAGCATCAGCAGTTTAGTGTCTTTAGAGTTTGCGTTACTCATTTACCAGTTGTTTTTTATATTTACGTGCTTCTGAGTAGCTAAGGATGCTACTTCCTGCAGAACAATAGAGTAATTTTAACAGCGGTAGTGCTAGTCGATCTCTGGTGAAGTAAATCAGCTAATTGGTTTCTATGTGAGGCCTAAGCTAGTTGCCACAAATTAAAAATTTCATTGGATTACGTGTACGATATTGCTCAAAGCTTGAGCGGCATTCCTTACAGTCTGGTTGTCTAACACTTCACTTTGTTTGTGTGTGTGCTATTTGGCAATTCGTCAGCATGGTGTAGGTTTTGTCACGGTAGACAACCAACGAAAGATGAGCAACTCTATTCTATTCAGAGTATAAAGTGGATTCTGGTAATAGATGGCTTATTTCGTTCGTGGTGCACCGAGACCGAGCCACACATTTTGATTCACGAAACCGTAGTCAGTAGCCAGGACGCAAGAACATACCACAGGCCTATCAGCCTTAAGCCGCCAGCTTGATACCTAGTTGTTGCCATTTCGCATTAAAATCGTACATTTCTGCGAAACCATATACAAGTGGGTGGATTTCATACAGTTCTAGTCTTCCACACAATTGCCAAAAATGACGAAGGTTTTATGTATTTTAAAAGGCAGTTTATGCTAAATATGTTTTGTCAATAACTGTGGATATAAGATAGTCATCGGCGAGGCGAAGCGGCGTGTACCCTCACGGAATTTACAAAATTTATTAAGGAGCCTCAACACGCCCCAAAAAGCCTATTAAATTAAATTAATTGAATCACGTCTAATACCAGTTTGGTGCTAGATCAGCATGGTTGCACCACATCGCTGGGGCAGTTCTATTCAATAACCAGTTAACAGAACGTGGCCAGTGAAGTAATACAGTCTGGGCACTACGGGGTTGGAAAAGAGGGTCAGAGGTACTCTAGTTGCCAGGCTTTGCCGCATCACTACTGCTACTACTACTGATGCTACTACTACTAGTATCAACTGAGTATTTGCTTTCTACTAAGGATCTGCTGGGATTACAAACAACATAGACAGCTGTTTAGAAAAAACAAAAGGAATTCAAGCAGTGCCCTAGTATTTCTGATATCAGGTATTTCGCCATCGCTGAAGGCCATTTATTATATTTGAACATTTTAAAATTACGAATTAAGATTACTCTAGCGTTTCATTGCCTTATTCAATGTACATATCTTTGTTTTAATAATAATTGAATTATTCACTTGGCAACACAGATAGTATTTCCGCCCTGATCCCTGATATATATATATATATATATATTCCAAAGGAAAGGGTTTACGCCGGTTTGTCACTCTGATAGACATTTTTAAGTAAATCTACCCAAAGGTATGCACCAATCACGCTTAACTATGGCATCAAATTAAGTTGGTTTATACGATAACTCCTTGCGTTTTACTGATATTATTATGATATTCACTATACCACCAACGTCTTATACCGCGCGGTTTTATCAACGATAACAAAAATATAATAGAATATCGGCCAGTAACCAACATCCTCCACTACTCTGCTTTCCTAATGCATTCATCAGCAGTTGCACAATAGTAGCTACTAAGCACACAGAGACAGCGAGTCGGTATAGATGCATTATCGTCTATCTGGCATAGGAATCAGGAGGCACTAGTCTACGATGCGGGCCCAGCAACGGGAACAGGAACAAGCAGGAATGTTTAATGGAGCCGAGATGATCCATAAGCTGGATAATATCGGCGCGGTGCAACAAAGTCCTTAGCTCAACGGGGACGCTTTGTAATGCCGATACAATGGTCTCTTCGCTCACCTCCCCCCTCTGCGTTGCACTGCTGCTTGGCGACATATTGTATGTGTGAGGGAGATAGGCCAGTAGGTAGGGAATTTTTTCTACAACTTTGACGACAGTAAATTTTTTTGTGGCATCATAAGATTATTGCTTTTTAATGTTCAGGTTGGCGTCATGATAGGGCTGGAGCATTTGCCACTATCTTGTTTTGTAGAAAATAAAACTTTCTGCAAGACATGTATCTTGCGTTTTTTCATATCTGGATTCTTCGAATATAAGATGCGAAGTTTAAAAATTTCTATGAAAACAGTCACGCGACATACTCCGCACTCTACGCATGTTGTCCACGTGTCAGCATACAACATGTTTATTTTTTACTCTTAGATTAACAAAAAACATGTTAACTGTAGTTCGATTATTTTTGCAATTGTGATACTTTCATCGTTTATAGAGTCAAGTAAATTAATTTTGTGATTCCCATGCATTCATATGGCTTGATTACACATATGCCTGTTTGCTACTTGACTACGAAAGCGACTGAGGTCTATCTATTGTCTGTTTCCTAATCTTTAGCCCCTCTATAAATTAAAAAGTACTCTTTTGGAGAAATTTTGATACAACGTGACTAGTATGCTTTTTTTGTAACCGAACCGGCCGCGCAGGCAGCAGCCCAAATACCAGGACACAGCGGCTGCTATGAGGAGATTAAAGAAGCTTTGTTGATACGATTTTTGAACTGCATAAAATTAGTAGAACTCAGAAAAGCCTCGTCGGTTAAATTGCTCTATAAGGAGACACTGTTTGGATGTGACTCGGAAGTCAGGCGGGTCTGACTGGCAGGCACTTTGCTTGGCGGCATCATGGAGGAAAGATCTGGGGATCAAAGCCCATTGGCGTAGTGGTAGACCTAGATCGTCAACCGCATGGATAATGTAGTTGGGGCGGCAGCACTCCAAACATATGAGCAGCACTTAAGGCTAGGTCTTAGCTGGGTCTTGGACAGAACAGGAGATCATGTGGAGAAAAGTATTAATACTTCTTAGACCTAAGCAAATAGCTCTTTCTCAGCAGCTGCCGCTATTGACAAGATATGTTTATGCCAGATTAAGTCTTCGATGATCTGGACTCGGACCAGCCGCAATTAATGGCTGTTTGGAATAACTCGGTCATCCATAGAAATCGGGTGTTAGTCAAGGTACAGTTCTGTGTTTTGGAAGCGTTAAAATTTACCAGATTGTTGCATCCTCAAGCAATGATAACCTCGAGATATCTCGTCTGAGAGAAAGTCGCTGCTAGTTGTACTTTCTCTAGCTCATCGGCAGAGATCGACTTGTCAATTTGAATTCCTGCACGTAGTGTCATCGGCAAAACTGTGGATCGGACTGATCGTATAGGAAAGGAGGTCGCTGAAATGTAAGAGAAACAATGTCGGAGCCAAGACCAATCCCTGGTGAATACCAGCGTTGACATTGTGGAATAATGAGAGAAAGTCAGTCACACATTTCCAAAACTTCTCTGGGAGGCCATAAGATGGAGGTTTACATCAGAGGGCACCATGCCATAGCTGATCGAATGCTTTCGTGATATCAAGGGCTGACCATATGATTGGATGAGTTTACTCCTCAGTTGCGAGACGTAAGCTAGGAGGTCCCCCGTGGATCGCTGGTGCCAGACACCAAACCGCTTGTCGCAAATCAAGCAGTGACGTTCAGTACTCCGAAGCTGCCGATTTATGCACCTCTCCATTAGGTTACTTATAATGGAAAGCGAAGCTATAGGTCTGTAGTTGCACAACTCCTATTTTCTGGGAAAGTGCCGGATTTATAAGATATCTGGAAGAGACACGTAAGAACTAGAGCAAGTTCCGCTCCCATCTCTTCAGTATGCAGTATGCTAAAAATGAAAAAGGTTTGTAGGTCCAAAAAATTCATTCAATAGACCAGCAGCTACGGAAGCAACAAATATCGCTGGCATTTCAGAGATAATTGCTCATGTTATGAAATTATATGGATGAGTTGAAAGTTGGGGGTCTGAAGTTGTACAGGGTTGAGGTTCACGTACCGTTATTGAGAAGGCGCTGACATCAGACATATTTTCCACACATCTACCATCGAAATATAAATATGATAGATTCATTATTTATATTGTTTGAGATGTAGAGGTTCACAATACATCGTAGGTAGTCAAGTTTCGCTGTGATATTTGCCAATTTGAACAACCACATGGAAAGTATAGGGTACATATTTTTTTATATTATCGGCAGGCATATTACCATCGATAAGGCCTGTGACGTTAGAACCAAAACTGTAAAACGACATCGAAATTAATTTCGTGTTCAGAGCAATCGAACTGCAATTCTCCAAGGTAACGTGTTCCATCGTATCCATAGGACGTCGTAAAAGAACGAATGGCCGATAACGGTAACCGTTGTGTGTGTGCGGGCTATTGAAAAATCTCATTTGGAAGGTCGGCCATTACGAAAGACAGCAGCATGGAGCAGGGTCGTCGATAAAGCCAAGGGCCGCCTGCTCGCCGTCATTCTGGCAAACTGCAAATAGTCCTGCGGAAAAGATAGCGCCGTATTGTGGCGGGAACTCTTGGGAAATCAGCCGCCCGGTTTTTCTTACTCGGCTACGGTTCGGACGAAATGCGCGCCACCGGAAGGAAAGAACGGTTCGTTCAGGTAATTTCTTGGATTTTATTGGACGACTGTTATTAGTGGCAGAAAGTGAACAAAGTATTCGCTAGGTGCACGATGGGATACAGAATTGTATTTCTATTGTTTTTTATCTTTAAGCCGTCAGAAACAGCTATCTAAACGCAGCGGTTATGCCGCCGTGCTAAGCTAAGATGAGGCGTCTGCAGCTAACAAAAACCCGAGAAAAAGCCGTCTTTGATTCATTTGTGCAGATACTTCAGATAAAAATGTAGGATTTCAAGACAACTCTTGCGTGTTACTGCCAAAAAACTTTTCCAATTAGTAGGGATTACTAGGTATCAACCAAATATGACCTAAAATTGCAGGTACTCCATTGTGCTTAGCACGGCAATATACATCTAAGGCAACTCTAATCTTAATCATTAACAGAAACAACACTAGTATTTGTTCTTGCTACTCGAGATTGATATTTACGTCCTCAAAATTAAATATATAACACTCAACAATATGTACTTTAATAGCAATGATAGCTCAAACTGAGTCAGACAGTCCTTCAAAATTCATCATTTTTTAATAGTAAGTCCCATATTATTGCATATCTAAATATACCTTTCCAAAATAAGACGATTGATATAAAAAATTTTAATGTTTAGTTGGTAAGTTATAGGCGAGTCAATGTACCTAAAACTAGAACTAGACAGGATTATAAAGCATTTAAAAGAACGTTCCAGATGATGGACTCCATGACACCTCATTCCGTTAAAAATATTCCCGGATAGCGCCAAGCTGCCATCTTGTAATTTTCAACTGCCACTTTTCTACTAAAGTATATGCTGTTTTTATTTTCCACACAATTCATATAATCCCACATAACTTCAGTTTCCTCAATTTATTGCACATTTATTTTTCAGTCTCAGTTCAAATGAAATTTAATTTCTTTCACAATTGACTCAGACATCAGATTCGACAGCCAGTCTCACTTCACTCGCAAAACGAGCGCAGATCAAGACATTTTGAAACCAAAATTAATAACTCCTGAAACTTACCCTGTGATTTTCATGTTCATGTTCATAGTACTCCATTGTCGGGCCGAATAAGACATGTTTCAATTTATATTTACTTCACCATGTTTCGGTCACCGCGAAAGCCTTTTTCAAGAGCAATGACAATTATTGACAGTATATTTTTGTTTATCGCTTCCAGATGACTGCCTATTTACTTTTTCTTATCTTTTCTTCATTCCTATACAGTGTGTTGCGACAATGGATTGAACTGTCCTGTAGTATCCCGAAATCTCGCGAGGCCTCCATTACAATTTTTAGATGGCACCGCGAAAAACCAGTACAGCCCAGGATTGCCTGGGGTAGGCATTTCCGTTCAAAAAGCACATTCAGCCGCCCAAAGCGACAGGTGAGCACGAGGTTATCTGTCGTTTCCTAAATGTATCAGATACGTCATTTTCGCCCATCGTCTCAAATGTGATACGCCCTCCGAGAATGCGAAAAACCCATCCAGATCCGTTCTGAGTGAATTTTTCGCGTTCTCGCAGGGAGTTTATCGCTTTCGATACCTAGTACATTTAAAAAACGACAGATAGCATCATGCTCGCTTGTCGCTTTGGTGGGCTGGAGGTGCTTTTCTGGTGCTACGCGGCGCCGTCTTAAAATTGCAATGCTACAGGATGATTTAATTTATTGACGCAACACACTGTATAGGAATGAAGAAAAGAAAAGTAAACAAAAATAAACTGTCACCTGGAAGCGGTAAGCAAAAATATACTGCCTTTAATTATCATTGCACTTGAAAAAGGCCACTGTGGTGGCCCAAACTTCGTACAATATACAGAAGTAAATAATATATGTGTTGTGATTCGGCCAGACAATGGAGTCCTATCAAGGACGAATGTCTATTTTTAATCACTACGAGTATATTAGGGTATATCTTAATTTCCGCTGAAAGTGTCAACGCTTTCTGTTCTACAAAGGTTGCCTCATCAGCATTGCCTTTATAACATGGCTCATCTCTCGTAACAACTCGATTTAGCGTGGGGCGGCAAAACCGTAACTCACCGGTGCGAAAGGGCAGCCTAGGTGGAAAAAATCGCAGTTTACCGGCCCTCGGTTAATTCCGCTGTGCATTATTCAAGGGGCGGGCCTTAAATAGTAATAAGCCCTTGCCAACGGCCAGTCCGGTGGTCCGACGACCAAGAGAAATGAGCAATAAACCAAAACAGTGCAGTCCAGACTGGTCAATCTCATCTAGGAGTATCAAATAGTCACCAGTTTGTTACAAAAAAAATGGATTCTGGTCAACTTGTACTTTACATGCCTAGGCTGAGAAATAAACCACAAAATGTTCGAGCTCATAACGCCGAGGGATATAATGTGCGAGATCAATAATAGCTTTCTCGAACGGGGTAGTAATACTACATTCGGCTTAATATGATTTAAATATTTTGCTTTATTTCAATATCTTTTATATCCTGCGTTGTCCTAAACTGCATTTTAAAAAACAAATAATCTTAATCTTCATTATCAAATGAATCTATTTTTTCATTTTCCATAATAGATAAGGCTATATCATTACAAAGCTCATTGATTGTATAGAGACATTTATCAGAAACTATACGTAAATCAACGATCACGTTTTATACTGAACTTACAAATACTTTGAAAGAACAAATAGCCTGGTGTCAAACTGACAAGCTTAAGTTAGTGCAATACTAAGCAGATACTTGGCATTCTGATTGGTTTATTTACTCCGTTGGGAGTAAGGTGCTAACGTCTGTTGGTAATGTTTCATTCTGCTTACATTAAAATTTGTAATACTTCCCTGGATATTGAAATACAGAAGGAAGGTTACTTGTCAAACAGACATAACGAAGTTAGCAAGACACAATTTCAAATGACGTCACTATCGATCTAGGTGTTTTTTGTTATCTTTATTTACCTAGACACGAGGGAGAGAAAAGGTTGAGCAACAAAGGTGCAAATGCAGGAAGCGTCGATTTTTTAAATGGAATTGAACCTCCAGAAATATTCCAGATGGTGAATCTTACTTTTTTATCGATTTCGTGAAAGAAGTGCATAGGAACATAACTACATACTGTTTGAAGATACATATGCAGAGTAGGTGTTCTAAGACTGGTGACTTTGTTTTTCATCAAAGCTGAGACACAGCAGCGAATGGGTAGAAGAAAAAATAAGGAAAGTCACCACTTTCATTTGAGAAGTGATTTGAAATATTTATTTATTTATTTATTTATTTTTATTTAGATTCAATACACTGCCTGAACGGAACACTCCATTGAACAGGCAGGAAGTACAGCATGCTCAGCCGACAGTTAGAAAATACCTTCGAAGGCTGTCTTTACTGTAGTGAAAGATATCAAGTGCACGTGCACTTTCACAAATGCCACACATAACATAGAGTGGTGAAAACAACAATAAGTTTGTTCTAGGAACAGGTAAATAGAATAAACTGTTGCTACCATGACGAGTACGCAAATTAGGTATGTGTAAATAAATTTTCTCTAAGAGTGAAGGACAATCAATGCTGCCATCGAGCAATTTACACAAAAAGGTAGCAGCGAATAAATGTCTGCGCTTCGTTAAATTTGGCAGATTGAATCTGCTTAATAATATGTCATTACGAAAGCCCCTTTCAGGATAAACTCTATCTTCTTTATACCACAAATACTTCACGAAACGTCGCTGAACTCTCTCAAGATTATGGGAATGTACATCGTAAGCCGGGTACCAAATAATAGAACAATATTCGAGAATAGATCTAACAAAAGCATAATATAGTAAGATTAAAGTTTTAGGATTATGAAATTGTCTGCTGTTTCTGATAACAAAACCAAGATTTTTGTACGCTTTTGCTACAATAGTATTTATCTGCTCGATAAATGTCATTCTGGGGTCAAACAAAACACCTAAATCTTTGAACGAAAAAACTCTCAGGAGCGAGCTGTTTCCAATCTCAAAGACAGATTCTATCGGTTCCAACTTGCGTGTTAGCGTCATAGTGCAACATTTATCAACATTCAAATCCATATTATTAACTTCACACCACTGATGTACAAGGTTCAGATCTGCTTGCAATGCTAAACTATCATCTAAGGTATTAACACATCTAAAAATCTTGAGGTCATCAGCATACAGCAAATACTCACACCGCAAGTCACTTACTATGTCGTTAATGAATATAAGAAATAACAAAGGGCCAAGGACTGAACCCTGGGGTACGCCTGACGTAGCCAACACCGGATATGATTTGTAACCACGATAATCTACACGTAAATGTCTGTTATTAATGTATGACTGGAAAAAATCAAGAAATCTAGACGTTAAACCAATTTTTGACAACTTCTGTATCAAAATACCGTGATCTAAACGGTCGAAAGCTTTTGAAAAATCGGTATAGACTACATCAACCTGCCCTCCTTTGTCCAAAACCTCAGCAGCGTATTGCTTGAAACATGCTAAATTACTACATGTTGATCTACCTTTATAAAAACCATGTTGACCAGTACAGATGGTACGACTTACATGAGAAAACACGACCTCAAAAAGTACAAACTCAAAAACTTTCGCCAAATTGCTCAAGATAACAATCGCTCTATAGTTCTCAATATGTGACCTATCGCCTTTCTTAAAAACTGGAGTAATTTTCGACATTTTCCATTTGTCAGGAAAGGTTGCAGTTTTTAAAGACAAATTAAAAAGGCATGCTAAGGGCTGAGCAAGTACCGAAGCACAATCCTTAAGAAAGAAAGATGGTATGGAATCTGGACCTGTGGAGCATTTAGGTTTCAACTTATTCAGAGCATTTCGTACATGCTTCTCATGAACTGTTATAATAGATAGGCAAGAACTATCGTTCACTGAGGCAGAGTCAGATAAATATTCCGAGGAGGAAATATAAGTAGATTGGAAATATGCTGCAAAGGCGTTCACTATTTGCTCAGGATTTTTCAACTCAGTATTTTCAGAAAACATGTTGCTAGGAATATTGGCGAAATTTTTGCGATGATTTACGAAGGACCAAAAGTTATTAGGGTTGTGAGCCAAAGCGCGCTCGGTTCTTTCAACAAAATTTGAATAAGCCATGTCAATATCGATTTTTATTGTTCTTCGTAAACTGCTAAATAATTCATAATCTGACAAATTACTTGTTCGCTTGTATCGTTTCCAGAGACGATGCTTTTTTCCGATTTTTGAGATAATAGAGCGAGAAAACCATGGAGGATATTTGTTATCTTTCGGCAATGTGTAAGGAACATGTCTATCAAATGCAACATACAATCGTTTATAAAAAAGATCGCAGGCAATATTAATATCCGTAATATGTGACGGGAGAGTTAAATCTAAATTCATAATGCTATTATAAAGAGCCGGGATGTTTGCTTTTTTAAAATTATACTGCGGAATACTGTTTGTATGGAAATTTCTCATGCGACTGGGAAAAGACACACGTACTTCTAGAGGAGGATGATAGGCATCGATAGGCAGTAAAATATCGGATGCAGCACTCACCTGCGCAAAGTTATTACAATACACTAAGTCCAGGATGCGATCATATGCATTACGTATATGATTGTATTGAACTAAATTGAAGAAGTGGCTCATATTTTTGACAACCGAAATGTAATTGTTATAGTAAGTACTATCAATGAGGTAATTTATATATGTAGGGATATTGAAATCCCCCAGAAAAAGAATAGTATCATTAAGCTTGAAACAATCTAATGTAAGGATGTCTTCAAAAAAAGTTTCATAAGTCTCCACAGTAAGATTTGGAGGAATATAAACAAGGAGGAGGTAAACCGTACAGCGAATGAGTTCAATTCTAATCCCAACAACATCAATTTCCGAGACTGAACATTGAAAATCAATTGCAACTCCTTTATATTTTTTATGTATCGCTAATAAAACTCCACCTCCCTTAGTCTGGCCAGTTTGTACATATTTCCTATCTGATCTGAAAACACTAAATTCGCTACTCATAAACTCGCTATTATGGATGCTATCATCAATCCCAGTCTCAGTCAAAGCAATTAGATCATAAGGACAAGTATAGGACGCATTGAATAAAGTGTGCAATTTGGTTTTTAATCCTCTAACATTCTGATAATAAATACAGAAGTCTGTTCGATCATATTGAGCAATATCTTCATTATGCTCGATTCCAGAATCTAAATTTACACAGGATAGTTGCTATATGTCACCTGTTATAGATTTTTTGTATTCATTTAATTTATTTTTGTATACTGTACATTGATTTGTATCCCAGGCAGCGTGATCTGTTTTTGAATGACGGGCGTTTACACAATTAATACATTTCAGATTGACAGATCGACAATCAGACACTTTATGATCCAAAGAGCATTTTACACAGGTTTGACTACTACTTCTACAATTTTTTGAATAATGATTCAGCCCACAGCATTTGAAGCACAATTTTAAATTGATTGCGTCATAAACCGCACAACTATCATAATTGACAAGGACCTTACCTTGATTGAGAACATTAGCATAAGTAGTACAATCTACATCTAAAATAGCTTGATAAACAGTAGCTGATTTTTTTGTTGGCCAAACTTTTAAAACACTACACTCACTTTCAGCATGAAACGCATTATTTTGAGATTTCAGCATTGTACACAACTCCTCTTTTTCGATACACTGAGACATTCCAACAATTTTTAAGCGCGGGTTGAACTTCCTCACCTCCTTCACCTCATAATCGGCAGAAAGGTGCCGCGACGCCAAATCCTTCAGTTTATTGGCATCATCCGAACCATCACATTTGATCAGTATTCCACCGTTTTTTATATTTTTCACCTGAGAAAATCTTATATTGTTATCTACAGGGTCAACAGACTGACTAATTCTAAGCCTCGTAGCAGAATGAGACTGATCATTGTTTTTTGGCGTAACAATCACGTTCACAGTCTTTTTCAAGGTATTTGCATATGAGGCACTTGGACCCGGGACCCTTTGTGAGACAGTCTGTTCCAAAGTTTCATCAACCTTATTTATCAGATGACCTTTAGCCTCGGAGAAAATATTATAAACATCAGCAATAAGTGTATCTACTTTATCATCAATTTTGATAAATACTCGATCAAAATCTTTTTTCTGCTGAGAGCATGTAGGACAGTACCAGAATAAACCAGGTGTTTTTATTATCTTCAATACATCTGATGGAATTCCCACACAAGAAATGTGAAAAGACTGTTCACAAAAACCATCGCACGGTATACCTGGCTTCGAGCGATTTACCAATGAATGGCAACTAGCACAGTTTGTAGCCATGACTGCTTGATTAAGTGCAGCTCACTGCATCAAAGTATAGTTCACAGCAACTGCACATTACGACCACCACACACGTATAAATTGGTGCAGAAACGACCAGTTTTAACCACAGAAAAATACGAAAAAGTCAGAGCGAAAACAAACACGTCTGAATACGGTACTATGTTATGGTACTGGAAATATCGCCCAGTGGCAAGGCGCAGGATGGGCACGTCTTAAAGAGAACGATCTAAATATACTCGCGAAACCTCGGCACCATCTTGAAGATACTTACGGCAAACTAATACCATATCGGCAAGCTCGTTATTATACAGGGTGTCCCAGAAGTCAACGTCAAGCCGAAACCGGGTGATAGGCAAAGTCATAACAGATATCGGAAAAATATTTAAAAAAAATTTATGTATGTGTTTAGAAAATTATAGGTCTATTAAAAAATATAGAAATTTCACACCCTACGGCAGTCTGTCAACTCCTGTTACTACAAATATTAACTTTTTTTGGATTTTATTTTTACAATGTAATGATGAATAACGCATCTTCAAACTGGTGTCTCAACCTTACTGCCAACTTTTCTCGTTCAGGAAAAATTGCCACTTATTTCCCAACCAAGTATTCCAAAGTAAAACTTTGCTCAACTTTAACTGGCTCTACTGGAAAAAATGCACTACGAGAGTTTGGCAAGTAATCTTAAAAGTTGGCGCATTTAATAGCGATTCCAAAATGGTATAACACTTAGAAGATTACTCGTTAACTTATGCACAATTTTTATTTGAAAAAAAACTGATGAAATTTTTTCAAAATTTCCTAATTAAACAGCGATTATAAAAACGCACAAGGACCCTAAAGGATAACTGTTTGCACAACAGTGGGCGTCAAAATGCTGCTGATGATGATTTACCTTTACGGCAAATGCTCAAACTGTTTTCCTTCAGCCGCAATACACGCTCGACATCTTCTTAAACAAGATCGGGTTATTAAACGAGCGAATCCACGGTTATTAACAAACTCAGCTGCTTCCAATAGTCTTTGCCGTAGCTCAGCTACATTTTGAATCGGCTTGAAATACACTTTTTCTTTTACAGTTCGCCAGTAAAAAAATCTAACGGATTCAAATCTGGTGACCGGGCTGGCCACGGTATTGTATCAGACCGCTCTATCCATCTGCCTGGAAAGTATTGATCGAGATACCCTCTCACTGAGAGTGCATAGTGCGCTGGGCAGCCATCATGCTGAAACCACATGTCCCTGTAAATACTCAGTGGCACGTCGTCCAATAAATTTTCTAAATGATTTTGCAAAAAACCTAAATAAACCTAGGCAGTCAAAGTCTCTGGGAACTCAAACGGGCCGATTATTTTACCATTTAAAATTCCTGTCCAATGGTTTATCTTGAAGCGATATTGAGATTTATCTTCTCTCATCAAATGTGGGTTTGCTACGTGCCACTCGGGTAAGTTATGCAGGTTCATGTACCCATCTTTCTTAAATGTGGTCTCATCTGATCATACAATTTTTTCAAAGAACCATGGATCTTCCCTGTGTCTTTCTAACATTGTGCGACAAAAAGCAACTCGGGGCTCATAATCCCGGGGCAAAAGAGCTTGAACACGCTGTACGTGGTATGGATGGAGCACGTTTTTTTGCCAGATTCTATGGGCTGTACCTTTGGGCACACCTGTTTTTAGTTCTATTGCACGCACTGAAGTACTCGGGTCTTCTTCGACAGCTCCTAGCACCACGTCTTCGTAAGGAAGGAAAGATCTTCCCTCACCGTGTGATTGGTTTGGTAGTTGGCCCTCTGAGAACAGTAAGCGGTGCACATTTGTGAACACATGATGATCTGGATGACGAGCTGCATTCGGGTACCTCTCACAGTAAAGTCTCGCTGCAGCACTAGCGTTGCATCTAAATTCCCCATAAATGAGGTGCATGTTAGCATATTCTTGTACGGTGTACACGGACATAGCGGCACTGCACAATCACACTATCAAAGATCGTCTAAGGAAAGCAAATGTTGTTTTGTAGAGCAATTAAACAGTCCAAATCCAAATCACAAGCGATCAACAGTCCAGTTCACGAATCCAAAATTAGTAACAGTACGAAATCAACAAGCAGGAACATGTAAAGATACGCAGTAAACGAAAGAGTACTGATCGGTATCAAAGTGTGCAATAGCAAGTAAGTGATGTGCTTCATCCATACCACATACAGCGTGTTCAACCTCTCCTGCCCCGGGATTATGAGCCCCGAGTTGCTTTTTGTCGCACAATGTTAGAAAGACACAGGAAAGATCCACAGTTCTTCGAAAAAATTTTATGGTCGGATGAGACCACATTTAAGAAAGATGGGTACATGAACCTGCATAACTTACACGAGTGGCACGTAGCAAACCCACATTTGATGAGAGAAGATAAATCTCAATATCGCTTCAAGATAAACCATTGGACAGGAATTTTAAATGGTAAAATAATCGGTCCGTTTGAGTTCTCAGAGACTTTGACTGCTGAAGTTTATTTGGATTTTTTGAAAAATCATGTACAAAATTTATTGGTGGACGTGCCACTGAGTATTTACAGGGACATGTGGTTTCAGCATGATAGCTGCCCAGCGCACTATGCACTCTCAGTGAGAGAG